CCATAAATTTACTATTGTTCTTATTGATCCATGGAGCCATTCCTTGTCGTAATGTAAAGAAGGATCATAGATTTCACTTTTCTTAAGGTAAGATGGCGATGATAAATTTAACTACACAGATAATCCATATTAAAAGCAGCCTCAAGAGCGACCAACACGACGAAATCACACCAAAACATCGACACCAGAGTCGGCTACGACAAAATCACACGACTCCAAAAAATAACAACTTTAAAAAAAAAAAAAAAACCGACACCAAAGAACGATGACTCCAAATAACAACGACACCAAAGAGCAATGACACCAAACGAGACGACACAAGATCAAGCGGCGACTATCGGAATGGAAAAAAACGATTATCATGCAGATACACAACAAACAATATTAAACGACAAAATTTGCCTTTGAACATTAACCAATAAGACGAATTTCTTCCTATAAGGGTAAGGTCTTACAAACATACTAGTAAGTAAAAGAAAAGGTTTCACGTGATGTACACGCTTCTACCCTATATGGACGTTTTAATGTCGTAAATCGAGAATATTATTTAACGTTACTTTTTTTTTTTTATATAAATTTTGGAGCGGGTAATCGTGATCCTTATTAAAAGATGCGTATTAGCGAGCAACGTTATGTACCAAAAAAAAAAGTCCGGGAGCCTTATTCTAAACAAGAGTTGGTCGGTAGAGGTGCTTATGGTTCTGTTTATAAAGGGTAAATATTCTAATTCCTACATTCCGTTCAAGATTGTAAAGTTTCTTAAAAAAAACTACTTAATTCTAGTATAAATAACGACACAAACCAAGTTGTAGCCATAAAAGTGCTAAATTTGGATACTGAAGAAGACGATGTTGGAGACATTATAAAAGAAATAAATTTGCTTTCATTACTTAATAGTGAGTCGCAAAACATTACTAGATATTATGGAAGTTTTCTTCATGGTACAAAATTATGGATTATTATGGAATATGCAGCTGGTGGGAGCATTAGGACTTTGGTGTGTATTTTTTTTCTTTTTGGATCGGTTTGAATATGCAAATTGTTGAGATAATTGCTAATTCATACTTTGTAATCCGCCAGTTGAAAGCTGGTGCAATAGAAGAAAAATATATATCTATTATTACGAGAGAAGTTTTACTAGCAATAAGTTATTTGCATAGGTGTAAAATTATTCATCGGGATATAAAGGGTAATTATAAAGTAATTTAATGCTAATGATTAATCATACTTCAAGATTTAATCAATATTTTGTAAAACCTTATACTATATAGCGGCAAACATTTTGCTAACGGCCGAAGGAAAAGTACAACTTTGCGATTTTGGTGTCGCTGGACAGTTGACTGCCTCAAATGCAAAACGCACTTCGTTTGTTGGTACTCCGTAAATATATATATATACAAATAAAATTATTTATTGTAATTCTGAAATATATTAATAATACATGTATACTCTAACTTTAATTTAATTTAATTTAATTTTTTTTTATGATTAGATATTGGATGGCGCCTGAAGTTATCACTGAAGGGGCTGCATATGATACTAAGGTTAGGTTAATATATTTATTTTCTTTTTATTGATTCTTACTATTGGTGAATTTTATATTTTCTTTTCAAACTTATCGCAAAAATCAATTAAATTAGGCAGATATATGGTCTTTAGGTATTACTGTATACGAAATCACAACCGGTAACCCGCCGTATCATGACCAAAGCGCAATGAGAGCTATTCAACTTATTCCTAAGAATAGGCCAGCTACACTTGAAGGTCCTTATTCTCCACCGTTAAAAGAGTTTGTAGCTATTTGTCTTAACGAAATATCTGAAGACGTATGCTATTAATGTTGTTTTAATTTTTTTTTTTTTTTTTTTTTTTTTTTTTTTTTTTTTTTCATAGCCGTATATTGACTAAGAATAATTAATCTTTATATATATACTTATAGCGTCCAACGGCTGATGATTTAATGAAAAATAAATTCATAAAAAGTTCCTCAAAGAATTCTATTGGAATATTACGTGATCTCATTGCGCGATTTGAACAATGGAAACAGGCAACCGGTTATCGTCAATCATTTTCAGATCCGTACGGAACTCCATCAAGGTAATATATACCGGTACTTGTATTATTTTTATTTAATATTATAGATAAATGGCCAACCTTGATTCATTTAGTGAAAGTGATTCCTACGACTTTGAAGATGGTCAAAAAGAAGATGAGGATGCTTGGGTATTTGATGTAAGTAAATTCTTATATTATTTTTTATTCATAACTATTAATGAAAGATTAATTAAAATTTAAAATCTTTTTTTTTTCATCAGACAACGCAAACTATTGTAACACATCGCAAATCGCGTTCTTTAGGGTCATTACACAATGATGGCTCGGATCAATTATCTCCCGTTATCGAAGATGAGGAGCATGTATTATCGATAGATAATAAACTTAAATCTCAGGAGAATGAAGATGTAGATCGGACTGTTTTACCCAGAGACAATACCATTAGATATGGTCGAATTATTTCTGATGGACTTCTATCTCCCCCTACTCAAATGTTTCACCGAAAATATTCAGAGTCTCATCATCCATTGCTTCAACTTTTTCAGAATGAAGAAAAAACTCAAATGGACAATATGTCAAAAGAATCTTCTCCAGCAAGTAGTTTTCGTAATCCTACAATATCTATACCACCTATGAATATAATGTCTGCGATGCCGAGCGTAGAAGACTCACCTTCGCGTATAATATTCGATAATTTGCATTCTCAGCATATTAATACGAAATTAAAAGATGATGGATCCGAAAACAATTCTTTGGACGGAAAATTGAAATCGTCTTTATATGCATCTGATTTATCTACTACCACTGATTCCTCATTCACCCGAATCGACACATCGACTCCAATTGAGATTGTTATTCCCACTGATAATTCACAAACGACAAATTCATCTCAAAAAATAATTCCGTCTTCTCAACCAGAACCTAATGGCCTTTTATCGCCTACTGCCATGTCAAATCCAAAACATATTCCGAAAAGAGAAGAAAGTGGCTACTTTTCAATTAATCACGGACAACAATTAAACGATTCAACGGGAAATAAAACGTCTAATTCCTCAGCTCATGATAATAATAGTTTAGGAGGATTGTTAACACCCCCACTAATAGGCCATATGATTTCTAAATCAACCAGTGAGGTACTTAATGTTAATCATTCATTTTCATCGTCATTCGGAAAATTGAACCATGTTAAACATAATCCTACAAGACATGGAAGTTACGACAATCAAATGGACCCATCCATAGGATTTCCACTTCATAAGCCAAATAGTCAAGGAAAAATTTATCCTCCACAACCAGCACGTCGTGTAAGATCTGCAACGACGTTAAATCAAACGAATGAGTTTAGACATATGCACAAAGATAGTAAGGGCAATGATATAGAGATAAGCAATAAATTCAGTGGTAATTTAGGAGTAGGCATACCCAGTCAGCGAAGTGGCAGTGTGCATCGACCCTCAAAGTCCAAAGTAATATTGCAATCATTGCACTGTCTGAACTTGTTAAATCTGATAGTAAATTTGTTCTAATTATCAAATTTTTTTCTTTAAAAATATATAGCCCGGACTTACCGAGGATAATACCTCATCTTCACATTTGCTACCACCATCCCCATCTACCTCTAAATTCCTCAATAATTCAGCTTTACCTTCTCAAGGATCACCTACGCGGCAAATAATTACAAATCAATCATCAATAATATTAAATACAGGACCCGAACTTCGTCCATTAAAGATGGATAATTATCGTGGTACTAGTGAAGTTTATGAGGATTTAACAAAAACTACAGATGATCTTTTACAGTGGATGACACTTTTAGAAGCTGGTATTAATCAGCTAATGACAAGATTTTGAATTTTAACGGATATTTTGTTTTTAAAAAAATAATAATAATAATTAGGGACGATATTTAAATTGAGTGATAGTTTTAATTTTTTTTTATAAAAAAAAAAAAAAAAAAAAAAAAAAAAAAGAAATTAATCACTCGAGATATTTAAAAATGATAACATTAATTATGGTAACAACTTTTTTTTTTTTTTTTTCTGAATTAGGTTTGTCAAGTTTACAAGTAAAATTTTATATTTTATTATTTTGAAATTTAAAATTTTTCAAAAAAAAAAAAGAAAAAAAAAAAATTGTAACCAATGTTGAAATTCAATGCCCTAAGCATTCTCAGAATAAAAATTTGAATTAGTGAAAATTGCGGAATGTGATTCAATTAGAAATATAATAAATAGCAAGTTTGTTCAGAAAATAAATTTTAAATTTATTTTCTTGGATAAGGTCATATAAAAGCGATTCTCAACATTTAGTTTCATAAATTTTTGACATTCAATAGGATTTTTATACGTCCGGAATTTGGCATAATCATTTAGATTTGAAAAATCCGGGTTGGAATAAATTACAATAATACACTAAATTATAAACATATCGGTATCATTTGTATTAACGTTAATGATCAGACTGCAGCTATAGCAAGTGATTCGATTTTGATAACTGTGAATTTACAAGGAGATTTGTACGTATCGGTATGGTGCGATTTTAATTATGCATGCGTACTAAATTAGAAGTAAAGTAAAAAAATATGTTATGCGATAGAATTAATAGAATTAAATTTAGAGTAAACCAAAAATCGCGATGACTAATAAAATAAAAGCTTTTTAGTAATTAAGAGTTAATACGAAAGGGACCCTCTCCTATACAATATTTATTGATTTGAGACTAACGGCTAGATCAATCCTTTGATAAGTCAAAGTTTTTTGACTTTAAAAATATAGAATAACTACCTTAAATAAAATATAATACGTATGTATATTTTTATTCAACTAGAGTTCTTTATAATGATGGTATAGCAGTTTAATTTTATCGGTGACTCCAAATATGTAACTGATATTTAAAGGTCACGCAAAGTTTAACCAGTTAGTCTTTTCGAAAAAAAATTTTATTATAAAAATTTACTTAGCGAATGGGATTTTTTTTGGGAAGAGAATTCTATAAAATTTTTTATTATAAAAAAAAAGCTAAACTATAAATTGCATACGTAGCCTAACAGATCAAAATTTAAAAAGCAATATCTATTAAATTTGTTTTTTTATTATACTCTTATTTTTTTCTATTTGACGTTTACGATTCTGACTATTTACAAATCATATTACATCTCTTGATTCTGTTCATGTTCTTTGAGGTAATATTCAAATATCATCATTATTTTTTTTTAATGTTTATAGACAGTCTTATTAATTTTGGTTAACAGAATGTTAACAAGAATGACTCTTCTGTTTTACGATTATGTTATAAGTGTGTAACAAGCCACATGTATAACTTTAGTTATTGTAGTTCACTACACAAATAAGTTGCTATCTGATTAGTTTTATACTATGTTATCATACTTGTAATTTGCTTGTAAATTACTTATTTAAATATTTTGATTATTAATTATTTGATTAATATGTTTAATATATCTAATTATTGTATTCGTTAATTTTTATTAAATTTTTCTTTTAAGATTTAAATTATCTGAAATATTTTTTATTTAATATATTGTAGATATATATATTGCAATTAACTATAAAGAAAAGTTTACTAAAATAATTTATGTTTATTTTATAAATTTATTTAAATTAATTCTTTATAATGTTTGTATAATTTTAGTTTTTATTATAGTTTTTTTATTTTTTATTTTTTATTTTAAACTAGCTATATATATTGTTATTTGTATTATCTCTCTTCAAAGCTTCTATTACAGCTTTGCTATCTATAAATATTTAAGTTTAATTTTACATAGTGTTATAAATAAAGCTGATCAGATAGCTTCTAATTTAGCTTATATTGAAGAAGACTAATTTTCTAAACTACTACTAAAACTAATATTTTTATCTACTAAACCTTTTTCTTTAACTATTTATCTAATACTTATTTTGTCTACATCTGCTTTTTTACTATTATCTTCTAGTACTTTATCTATATAGTATTTGATTATTTTTTCTTTTTTAATCTCTTAAATATATTTACTAGATCTTTTTTTAGTTTTTCTTTTTTAATTAAGTTTTGAATTTGCTATAATTTCTAATCTTAGTTTTTGTTTAAAGATGCTATCTTTAACTATTTTTCTAGATTTTATAAGTACTATTAGTAATACTTTTAGTATTAAGTTTTTTTCTTTTTTTCTTAGTTTATCGATTTTTTTTTTTTTTCCTTTGACAGTCACGTCATTAACTTTATTAAGTTGCTAACTACGGTCTTAGCCAAGTTACATGATTTAATAATCTACTTAACTTCCTAAGTTTGACATCACCTAGCTGCTACTAGAGTACTCAGGTGCGACCTGTCGCACTAGCCTATAGGCTAGAACAATTTGTCTAACTATATCAAAG